TCTGTCATCTTTTCTAATGATTAATATAGTGTTCAGATTCTTGCATATTCCATCCTGGATGCAAGTTCCATGAAGACAGGGCCCATGAAAGTTGGATTAATGGTCACATCTCTTGTCTCTAGCAGTGCCTGCAACATTAAAAAAAAAAAAAAAAAAAAAAAACCTTAATAATGTGCTTAATTAAATAATTGTGGATTTTCAGGTTGTTTTTCAATCTTTGCTGTTATAAACAATGCTGCTGTGGAGAACCATGTTTATAAATGCTTGCAAACTTGTTGGTAGTATTTTTAGGTCAAATGCCTAAAGGTTAAAATGCTAAGTAAAAATGTTATGTTCTATTTAAGACTTAAAGACTTAAAGTCTTAAAGTCTTAAAGATTTTTTTATATGAATTTCCAAACTACATTTCAGAAAAGTTTTTATTGCCAATTCATAGTCTGATTCAAAATAGATGAGAATGCCTTTTTTCCTCACACATTTGCCAGCCCAATATAGGAATAATATTATTCATTTTTCAAATATGATATGTGAAAATGTAATCTCACTTTAAAATATGTATATGATTACTAGTGAGATTGAATATCTTTTTATTCTATTGATCAGTTGTATTTCTTCTTTTGTGAATTTCTTTGCTGTTTCTCATTTTGTGTTTGTCTTTTCCTAATGTATGATAACTTTTTATTTATGAAAAGATTATTGGCATTTTGTCTAGGCAGTAAATATTGCAGCTGCTTCTGCAACATTAATTTAACCCTTCCCCAGTTGTATAGCATTCACGTGGTTTGGAATGGATTAACCCCACTCCAGGCATAGAATCTGATTGGTCTATGCTACAGAGGATAATTCCATCTTCTTTCCTTGGTGATTAGTTCAGGCAGTAGCACCTAATTCAGGCCTAAGCCAATCAGTGATTAGTTCAGAGGTGGCCATGGAGGAACAATAAACTCAGACAATTGGGATAATTACACCCTACTTTCCACAGGGATAGGCACCAGCCCAAGCTTGAGTGAATCAGATGATGGAAATACTCCCTAAACAGAGTGATTGGTTTTAAGAGTGATCTAATCAGAAATAAGCTTAAAACGTTTTTTGGTGGTTATGGTAAGTAGAACATTTTCTCCCCTTGGAATGAACGAAGAATAATATAGCCCCAGTTGCCAGTCACAAACATCTTATGAATATGAGGGAAGCCAAACTGAGGATGAAGCCAACACTAGAAAGAGTATGGAATGAAGAGAAACACAATTAGACTCAGAGCTCTGATATGACCATGCCAGAAGTCTACTCAAACTGAGAAAAGAGAATTTTCTAAAAATATTCCAAGGCAGTTGAAGTTGTGTTTTCTGTCACTTGCAACTAAAACCACCTGGATATGGTATGTCATATAATTTTCATAATTTTTCCAGTTTTTCATTTATCACTTATCTTCATGATAATTTTTATAATGTTACTTTTCATAATGTTTTGCCATTTTTTCAAATCCATTATTCTTGATATATTTTTTTAAATAAAGACACTTTCCCCAGTTGGCACCAAAGCCAGTGATAAGTCTCAAGACCCAGGCAAAATTTCACAGAGGTGTCATTTCCACACTACTACTCTGCACACACCCAAACGTGTAATATTTTGTTTCTCAGCATTCATATGTTTCTCCTTAGCCAAAAGAGGTCACATGATTTCCACAAATCCTTACTTTTCCAATTCCGTTACTTTTATTTTATTGAACCCATTAGAGAATCTGGCTGTGGACTTCTTTTGAGACATCCTTGGGCTGTTACGCAGACAGAATACTATTTCTAAATAGTATTTAGTTTGTCCTATTCCAATTCTGTATACAGTTGTTGGTGTTATTTTAAGAACATCTTCTACAATTCAACAGCATATCTTAAACATTGGTATTAAATGATGAACTGTTGAATATTTGTTTTTAAACAAATAACTTTCTGTGTATAGGTAGGCTTTAAAAAAATAAAAACAGGTGTACACAAGAAGTAAAGTAATCTGCCAAAAAAATTATGTGAGAGATAAGTGTTCATTTCATCTCCAAGTAGAGAAAATTAGAATTTCTTTCAACGTTAATTGTGTGAATGACAAATTTCAGAATATTCATATCAATGGAAACAACAAATCACGCACAAGGATAAATATAAACAAAGATAAAAATTGAAGAAAATTTTCATTACTTCCATTGATTTTCTAGAATTTAAACTATCCAAAGTGATTCTTAATAAAAAAAAAAAATGACATTGAGGGCTCCGGGTTTCAGGTATGGCATGTAAAGAGCTTGAAAGTCAAAACTTCTATCCTTAAAGCAAGAAAAAAGCTGAATAAACTGAAAATAAGTGATTTTCTTGGACTCACCAGAGAATTGTCACTGGGTAAAACCCACTCCAAAATCTGGCTAACAGGCAAATACAGAGAATCCTGGCTAAGATCAGTTTACCTGGAGTAGAAGACACGGGAGCCACAAAACTGCTAAGTACACTTAAACAGATACTTGGATGAATTGCTAGAGGCTGAGTGTGGACCAGGGTGACTGTGAGACACTCCTCAGGGCTGTAGTATTTAGGAAGGCCCCATGCTTTCATGGGTTCCAGGAATTCCATCAGGTTCTCATGGTGAAGAGCCAAGAAAAATCCCTTTATGGCTCTGGCAGGGGGAGGAGAAAAGTATCCATTTTGAATTAGAGCATTCTCTACAATAAAGGCCTAAGCTCCCAAGGAACAGATTTTACCAGAGTCTTCTCAGACACAGGGGAAGGGCAATTATTCAATTCCAGTCCCCTCTAGCTTTCCTGTCTCACTCAGTGGGGAGGGGAAGCTGAGAAATACTTGTGAAGGCCACAGCCCAGGGACACACTAGACTGAGCTGTAATGAGATTATAGAACACTGCTCCTCCCCATACCTTCGCATCACACCAACAGTGCTCCAGTGTCCTAACAGTGGATCACAGCTGAAAGAGCAGCCCGGTGCTTCTATTATTTAAGAAGGCATGTTTAGGGAAACCCAAAGACAACAGGAGAGAAAAGAACAAGGACTAGAACTAGAGGAATTTGAAGCCTCTGGCACCCATACCTATAGCAAACATTACACAAGCCCAACTCCCAGCTGGATTAACATAAAATCTGGCAATATTGAACTTTACCAGAGTCCTGTGATCCTGGAAAACAGTTATTATTCAAGAAATCCCACCACCCTTTGTGTCTGGGAAACAGTCTTTTGCAAAGTGTCCTTCATCCCCCCAGGACCTAGTTCAGACTTGCAGGTAACCCCGTTGATTACCTAGAACAAGGCCAGGCACAGCCCCTCCAAATTCCCATTCTTTGTCTTATAAGTGATTAATTAGCCGAACTGTTTGTCCCCACTGATCAATGAGAACAAAATACCTATTGACTTGACCAAATTTTAGTTAAGTTTCTCTGCTTCCCATAGGATCCTGAACTCTGACTCACCCCTAAGTTTAAACAAGTGTTGGAATGTGGAACAACCCTGCTTAATAAACCCTCCTGAAAATGGGTCGATCACAGGGAAACACATTTCCAGCTCCAGTTTCCAGTTACTTAAGTGCAGATTTGTTATTTATTTGACAAAACTCACGATAAAGGCCAATTTACCTCAGTCCCTGTGATGGTTAACTTTATGTGTCAACTTGGCTGGGCCATAGTGCCTAGATATGTGGTCAAATGTGTAGATTCATGTAACTCCCACCGCAGTCAGGATACAAAACTGTTTCAGCACCACAAAGGGACTCCCTTGTGTTTCCCCTTTATACTTGCCCTACCCCCTGCACCTCTACACCATAGGAGAATTTTAAGCAAAGGAGTGGGAAGATCTGAGAGTGGTCAGCTGGGTCAAGGACATGACGTATCCAACTTTGGGTACCTTAAAATCCTTTGGCAAAGTAAGTGCACTGTGAATATATATTGTTTTTTTGTTTGTTTGTTTTATTTAAAGACATTTTTTTAGAGCAGTTTTAGGTTTACAGCAAAATTGAGAGGAAGGTACAGAGAGTTGCCATATACCCCTGACCCCACACCTGCATAGCTTCCCCATTATCGACACCCCTCCCCCAGAGTGGGACATTTATTACAGTTGATGAACCTGCATTGACATCATTATCACTCCAAGTCCAGAGTTTATATTACGGTTCACTGTTGGTATTATACCTTCTATGGGTTTGGACATGTATTCATCCTTACAGTATCATACAGAATATTTTCACTGACCTAAAAATCCTCTGTGGTCCACCTGTTTATCCCTGCCTCTCCCCTAACTCCTGGCAACCCCTGATCTTTTTACTGTCTCCATACTTTTGCCTTTTCCAGCATGCTTTATACTTGGAATCAACTATGGTATGTAGCCTTTTCAGATTGGCTTCCCTCGCTTAATAATATGCATTTAAAGTTCCTCCATGTCTTTTCATGGCTTATAGCTCATTTCATTTCATTGCTAAATAATATTCCATTGTCTGACTGTACCATAGTTTATCCATTCACCTGCTGAAGAACATCTTGGTTGCTTCCAACTTTTGACAATTATGAATAAGTCTGCTATAAACATCTGTGTGCAGGTTTTTGTGTGGACGTAAGTTTTCAACTCCACTGGGTAAATACCAAGGAGCATGATTACAGGATTGTATGGTAAGAGTATGTTTAGTTTTGTAAGAAACTGCCAAATTGTCTTCCAAAGTGGCTGTATCATTTTGCCTTCTCATCAGCAACGAATGAGACTTGCTGTTGCTCCACATCCTCACCAGCATTTGATGCTGACAGTGTTCCAGATTTTGGCCAATCTAATAGGTGTGTAGTTGTATCTCATTGTTGTTTGAATTTGCATTTCCCTGGTGACATAATATGTGGAGCATCTTCTCATATGCTTATTTGCCATCTGTAGATCTTCTTCAGTGAATTGTCTGCCAAGGTCTTTGGCCCATTTTTTAATTGAGTTGTTTGTTTTCTTATTGTTGAGTTTTAAGAGTTCTTTCTATATTTTAGATAACAATCCTTTATCAGATGTGTCTTTTGCAAACATTTTCTCCCAATCTGTGGCTTATCTTTTCATTCTCTTGACCTTGTATTTCATAGAGCATAAATTTTTAATTTTAAGAAGTATCAATTACTTCTTTCATAGATCATGGCTTTTGTGTTGTATCTAAAAAGTCGTCACCATACCCAAAGTCATCTAGGTTTTCTCCTGTGTTATCTTCTAGGAGTTTTATAGTTTTGCATTTTACGTTTAGGTCTATGATCCATTTTGAGTTAATTTTTTTACATATACATAGTATACATATTCTGTTTCTCTGGAGAACTCTAATATAGTTCATATTACCTGATACATCATTTGAATTTCAACAAAAATTTATAAGGCATCCTAAACACAAGACAACAACACAGTCTAAAGAGCCAACTCAAACATCAGAATAAGACTCAGGTATGATGCAGATTTTGGAATTTTCAGACAAGGAATTTAAAATAATTTTAATTAATATGTTAAGGGCTCTAATGGAAAAACGTAGACAATGTGCAGGAACACATGAGTAATGTTAGCAGAAAGATGGAAACTCTAAGAAGGTGTTAAAAGGAAATGCTATAAATCAAAAATACTGTAATAGAAATAAAAAATACCTTTTATGGGCTCATCAATAGACTGGACAGAGCCAAGGAAAGAATCAGTGAGCTTGAAGATATGTCAATAGACACTTTCTAAACAGAAATGCAAAAAGAGAAAAACAAATGAAAGGAACAGAACAGAACATCTAAGAACAGTGGGATAATTTCAAAAGGTATAGCATACACATAATTAGACTATCAGAAGGAAAAGAAAGAGAATGGAGCAGGAGAAATATTTGAAGTAATAATGGCTAAGAACTTTCCAAAATTAATGACAAACCACAATCCAGGAAGCTCAGAGAACATGAAGCAGGATAAATATCAAAATAATACATACCTGGGCCGGCCCCGTGGCTTAGCGGTTAAGTGCGTGCGCTCTGCTGCTGGCGGCCCGGGTTCGGTCCTGGGCGCGCACCGACACACCCCTTCTCTGGCCATGCTGAGGCCGCGTCCCACATACAGCAACTAGAAGAATGTGCAGCTATGACATACAACTATCTACTGGGGCTTTGGGGGAAAAAAATAAATAAATAAAATCTTTAAAAAAAAATAATACATACCTAAGCATATCATATTCAGACTCAGAAAACCAAAGAAAAGGTGAAAACTTGAAAGAAGTTAAAGGGAAAAAATGTCTTACCCACAGAAGAACAAGAATTTTACAGGAGACTTCTCATAAAAAAAAAAAAAAACACACAAGCAAGAAGAGTAAAGTGAAACATAAAGCATTGAAATAAAATAAACACCAACTTAGAATTCTGTATCCAGCAAAATTATTCTTCAAAAGTGAAGGAGAAATATAGACTGATTCAGAAAAAAAAAGCAATTTATCTCCAGCAGACCTTCCCTGCTAGTAATGTTAAAAGTTCTTTAGGGAGAAGAAAGATGATATAGGTCATAAATTCAGATATAAATGAAGAAAGAAGAGCGTAAGAAAAGGAATACATGAAGGTAAAATAAAATCTTTCATTTTACTTATTCTCAATTGACCTATTTTATAACTATTCAAAGTAATACTAATAATGTATTAGGTGATTATGGTATATGGATAAGATAAATGAATGACAGCAATGTTATAAGGGACAGGAAGGAGGAATTGGGGACACTCTGTTGTGTTACCTTCATTATCCATGAAGTGATATAGTGTTATCTGAAAGTGGAGTTGGATTGATTGTAAATGTATATTGCAAACTCTTGGACAACCAATAGAACAATTTTAGAAGGAAGTATAATTGATATGCTAAGAGAGGAAAGAAAATGGAATCATATAACATGCTTAGTTAAAACCAGAGAAGGCAGAACAAGAAGGGAAAGGGATAAAAAGAACCAAAGGACAAGTGCAGCTAATAGAAAATAATTACAAACATGTAGGTATTAATCAACTACAACAATAATCACTAAATGTGGATGGTCTAAATACACCAATTAAAAGACAGATATTGCCATAGTGGATAAAAAAAGACCCAACTATATGTTGTATATTAAAAAAATGACATTGAAAAAGTGTATTACACTTCAATGGATGAGGAAAAATTGAAATGAACTCAGGGAAAAATATCTGAACCACTAAAACACATAAACCTTTTAAAAAGTACATGTAGTTAACATTTAACCAAAATCAAGTGGAAAACAAATCAATTTATGAGAAGTAAAAGAGCTTTGTAAAATGATGCTAAGTATCTCCAGTCTGATACACAGATAAATAAAAAATAGACGTGTTTGCAACATTCATTCATGAAAAAAAATTCCCCAGTATCTAAGCCTCCTACCTTAAAAACATCTGCAGTGCAGTAGACACAGGTGGCATATTTGAGGGGTAAGAAATATCTGGTAATGGCAAAACCATATGTTAGCTTATGAAAGTAATTGAAGAAAGTAGAAAATTTGGAAAAATACATGTAAGGATGCAATAAAAATAATTGTTCAAAAATCCTACCTCCTGGTAAAAATTTATCTTGTTTTTATTTTTGTTTCTTGCTATAAGCTCATTTTAAAATTGAGATGAATAGAATTTTTGACATGGAGAGTTCCCCTTCATTTATATTTCAAGATTTTTTACTTGGTCTGATTTGATGTTTCCCATTCAAAACAACTAGCTTTATTGCGATCCCATGGCCTCCATGAAGTATTTTTGCCCATTTTTATTGTTGTAAATGTTTTTCCATATGTCTTATTTTTTGCTTTTTACTTAGTATGAAATTTGAAGGATTTAAAGCCAGATAAAATAAGGTCAAATTAATTCATTCATTCAAGAAATTTTTTTTGAATACCTACTTTGTGTCAAGTATTCTACTGGGCCCTTGGGATACATCAATAAGCACAATAGAGAAAAACTCCTGTTTTTGTGGAGCTACATTCGAGAGAGTTAATATCTTACAGGTGACACAACAGTCTTTTATTTAATCCTCTTGATAATTATGTTAGGTATTTTTAAAAATATTTTATATATGGAAACTGAGTCCTAGAGAGGTCAAGTGGCTTGTGAATATCACATGGCTAATGAAAAGCTAGGCCAAGTTTATAACCCAATTTTGTCTTTGACTTTCTGGGTAACTTCAGGAAATGGCATTGTTCATGTTACAGGAATGATGATGCTATATTTGAGTGAAGAATGTTTCTGACAGCAAATGGGAAAATGACCAAGCACAGCTACTGATCCCCATCCTGACTGTTCAATCTTTTTGGATTTAATGGGCAGTCTCTGATTTCTGATAAATCTTCCTTTCTTACAGTACTTAGAACAGAGAGATCATCTTTAAATGCTGGAGTTTGTATGAGAATTGGAATAGTTCAGGCACTTAGACCCGATATTTGGAGGGGGGAGCTTTGTTTACAGAGATCCTAACATAAATAGATGAATATTTAAAATGGATCTTATATCATAAGGAAAAAGGCCTTAGGACCAAAATATATGAGAATAAAATAAAGTAATGCATTTTCTTGTCATTATAGGTCATGTTCTAATCAGAAAACAATTTTTCTAATAATCCATCCCTTTGGAGCTATGCAAAAAGTGTGTATTTTGGAAGAATTATATGGCTTTTTATTGTAGAGAAAAATGTATCTCTATTTTTCTATGATTTCCTTTTTTATGGTGAGAGTTAGCTAATACTATCTTGATTACACACTGGGGTGGACATCAATGAATAGTAAAAACAAAAATAAACCAAACATTCCCAAAGCAGGTTTTATTTTGTTCTTGATGCAGTCTCTTCTTTTTATGTTTTGTTTTATATGGCCTCCCTTGAATTATTTCTTTCACTCATATAGATTTAGCTTCTACTATACTTTAACAACTCCTATTCTGAATTTTCTTCTGAGCTCTGAGGCAACTAAAACTCAGCGGGACTGGAAGCACATTATCTTCTCCCGTACACATGTCCCTCTTTATATTACCATCACCCAGTTCATGTCTCCACTATCTATACTCCATCTCCCAGGATAAATATATAGAAGTCATCTTTAGTTCCTTACCCTCTCTAATCACCCATTGTCAATATGTCTTGTCAATTCCCTTCCCATGACTCAAATGCCCCCCCCTCTAATACATCCACAATGCTTTTATTCACGTACTACTGAGCTCTTGGCCAAAATTTTGAAATTTTAACCTATCATAGTTGTGATTTACCGAAATGAGTACAACAGTGCAGCTAGAAAGACACATGCATGCAATTAATGATTCTGTTAATTGACTATATAATGTAATCTGGATAAGGAGGTATCTGAGGATATAAGTGAGATGACAGAAAACAAAAGGTTGTAGGTCCAATGTATTAGAGATCCTAGAGGGGTCAAAGAATGTTTTAGATGGGGTGCTAAAGGGAGTGAGTTGGAAAGTTAGGAGGTTATGGTCAAAGAATGGCATTATGGAGGAGTTGTGGTTATTGGAAATGATAAAGTCTAGAGTATGGCCAGGGGAATGACTGACTAAAAGAGTGGAAAACAAGCTCACTGGAAGAGAGGAAAAGGAATTGAGAGGGCAGAGGACTGGTAGGACCATCTGTGTTTATACTGAAATTGCCCAGAATTAAGACAGGAGTAGTGTTGGAGAAAGTGACAGGGAGCCAACGGTCTGTAAATGTCTGCAACAATGAGGAGAGACAATGGAGTCTATGCTGTGAAAAGATGAGATCTTTTGCAAATGGAGGGGTTTATGTTGATGGTGATAATTTACAGAGGGCCCAGCAAATGAGTTTCATGAGTTGAGGAGAGGTAGGAGAAATGGTCAGAAAAAAAGGATGTAGAATGGCTCTTAGAGTCCAGGAGATGAAGGATAGATGACTCAAGACTCTTGGCTTCTTGTGGTAACTAACATCAACATATACAAAAAGCAGGAGGAAATTTATTTTTCTTTTTTTATTGTGGTAAAAAACACATAACATGATATCTAACCTCTTAACACATTTTTAAGTGTACAATACAGTCTTATTAATTATATGCACATTGTTGTACAGCAGACCTCTAGAATTTTTTCATCTTGCATGACGGAAATTCTATACCCATTGAACAGCAACTCCCCGTTTCACACTCCCCACAACCCCTGGCCACCACCATTCTACTATCTGTTTCTATGAGTTTAACTATTTTAGATAGCTCATATAAATGGAATCATGCAGTATTTGTCCTTCTGTGATTGGTTTATGTCACAGCATAATTTCCTCAAGATTCATCCATATTATAGCATATGACAGAATTTTCTCCTTTTTAAAAGCTGAATAATAGTCCATTTTATGCACATATCATGCTTTTTAATCCATTCATCCATCAAAGGACATTTACGTTGTTTCCATATCTTGTCTATTGTGAATAATACTGCAACAAACACGGGATTTCACATATGTCTTCTAGATAGTGATTTCATTTTCTTTGGGTATATACCTAGAAATGGGATTGGTGGATCATATGGTAGTTCTATTTTTAATTTTTTGAGGAACCTCCATACTGTTTTCCATTGTGGCTGCACAAATTTACATTTCCACCAACATTGCACAAGGGTTCCCTTTTCTCCACATCCTTTCCAACACTTGTTACCTCT